TCCCGAACCGCCCATTCCCCGCCTGATTTCGCTTGTTAAGGGGTCTCAAATCTGGTAAGACGCTCTACCCTCCTCTCTGCCTGATCGCTAGAGTTGGCGAGGGATTAGCCAGCTGGTGGGCGGGAGAGAGCCGCAAGCGCCAAGGTACGGCACTGCTAGGCCACTAAGGGCGAGCCTTTCGTTGCGGAGCATGCATCAAACGACTCTTAGAGAGTCTGCCTTCCTTTCTGATAGACATACGTCTCCTTTTTCGATCTCAAGTCATCGTGAAGTCCTTGTGGGATCCTTCAATTTCACAATTCTAGCTCTAAGAATAAATAATGTCAAGGCGATCCTGACGTCTGCACTAACCTTAGCTCCCGAAGCGGATTACGGCGCTATCGCAAGTTATGGGGGCATTGTTGTGGAAACGCATTCCAAACCACGTGAAACACCCCCTATCTTCTGGTATGAAGAACTATACCTAGTAGCAAATCCCTACTACTATAATTCTTTTTGCCAGAAGCCTTTCAAGCTTTAGATTACCATGGTTGCCCAATGAAAAGAGGTCATCCCTCCTCGTCAGATGAATGATGAAGACTGATGGTTCCGAGGCCTTGGAAGACAACCAGGAACAAGATGATTGCGGAATGAGCGCGATGCCAGGTCGAGGCGAACGCGGCTTAACCTCGAAAATTGTTTTCGAGAATCTTTCGGCGGTCACTATTCGATTGCCGGATTAGTGGCTGACGTGGGTTCATCACAAAACCAATCAAGGGCCGCGTGGGAGGGAGTACGGTGGATTCCTGGGTATTCTGGGGGGAGGGAGTAGTTGGGTCTGGAAAGGTAGTGTCTTCTAAAGAACAACTAAATAGACGGGAAATGTGAATGGAAGAACACGGTTATCGGAGACTGGTCAAGTTCAAAAAGAGACGTCCGAGAGGTTCTGAATTCCATTAAATATTAATATCTAGAGGATTTGGGGTGATTTCACTGAGTTCAGCTGTTTTTCTCCGGCTTCTGGTGATGGAAGATCGCTCAGTTCTCAGTCTTTCGATTAGGCACAAGCTCCATAGACTAATCCTATCGTGCACGCTTTCAAGAGCACATTCAGCGACTGAGTGGGAGAATCCTAATGAAAAGGAGCGGCTCCAAGCACACACGTTGTACCAATTGGGTTGTGCAAAATTGTACCGCAAGGAAAAGGCTAAACTCAACGTTGCTGGCTGCAAAAGCCGTCTTTCACTGACTTCTTGAGTGGTATATCGCTATATCCTTGCTTCTGCATTAACGCTGTTCTGGTAGGATAGTCCCAAATTCTGTACTCAATGTGTATGTAAAAACTTTGAAGGAGCTATCGAATATACGGGTGCAGGACTGCAGCACTCAAGACGCGTGAGACAATCTCTTTCAAAACGGGGCAATTTGAGCAGAAGAGGAGGATTACGGTCGGAATCATCTTATTTTCGATCGCGGCGTTACCTGCACCTGTTAAACTTTTCTATATGATGCCTCCATGATTTTGCTAGCGCCACTCAAGACCCACAAAGAAGCACAGTAAGGCGATTTTCTGAAGCCGCACTCTCTCGGGATACACGGAGAATGGCCATTGACAACGATTCATACGAATAGAAGCTGTCGCGTTTGGATCCTCATGCCAGTAAGGGGGGGCGGGTGGCCTGGGAATGCACATCAAGTGGCTGCCCTCACCCCCCTAGACTGCCTACACTCCCCTGGCGCACAGGTTTCTCGAAGTACGGGACCCCGTGAGCCAGGAGGAGTGAAGGCAGTCTAGGGGTGGGGGGTGAGGGCAGCCACTTGCCCCCCTTACTGGATGAGCGCCTTTTCATGGATTGTGTTCCGGAACCCTAGTCGAGGATGAATTTAACATTTATCTTGATATCAACATATTCATCTAAGCAGCCGCGGCACTGGTGAGGTCCTACCTTTTTGATTCGGATTCTCTGACAATAGTTTACAGTAGGACTGACGATAAGACGAAGGTCAGGGGGACTGTACTGATGAAGAGACGACGGGCCTCCAGAGGGTGCAGACTTCAACGCAAATCGCACGAAGGATATCCCGTGGCATCTACATGGCGTCCCGGCCGCTATTGGCGCACTATCGGCGGGTACGACTCTCGCGACGAGGCTCTAGCCGTTCGGCAGAGAGAGCGTTAGTGTTGAAGATGCCAGCAACGATAAGAACTGCATTAATAATGAGACCAACGGGCGGGAAGCGGTCCCGTTTTTCGGGTTCTAAGCCGTTCTTCTTGGTTCTTTCCTCTTTCGTGATTCACTGACCATCTTTAACTTCATTTCCTATAGGCTGCCTTTTCATCGTAAAATTCGCCTTTAAGCAGAAACATGCTTAACGACGGTCTGTTTTGTGCCCTCATTAGGTTGCTTTTTATTAAATAGGAATTTCCTAGAAAGATCTGAAGAATCGAATTGGTGCCAGGAGGTTGATTCCAGAAAAGAGAACAAATTGTCTTTCATAGTATTACTACAAAATCAAAGACTAAACAAAGAGAACGATGATGAGGTATCTAGGCGACGGGCGCGGATAGCGTACATTTCCGCGCTCAGTTTGCCGGAATGATAGGGTTTGCTCGGCGAATAGTCGCCATAATCGAATTTTTTTCAGCGAAGCCATTACGTGCAGGCCAGCCTACTTTACGGGAGCTTTTCCGGAACTCGTAAAGAATCAACGGCTGACTTTAGAGACAGATAGATATAGGAGTGAAAACTAGAAGGCATTCAATTCTAGGGGACTTGTTGATCAAAGAAAGTGGAAACCGTGGACGGGCTAAGGGACATCTCAGTGATCTGTTTCAGCTCCTGTTCTGAAGTGCACAGAAGCCTTTGAGTGGAAGATGAGTAACCATTTGTGGACCCAAAATGGCATCCAAGAGAGCTCGTTTTTCACAGAAATAGTGGGACTGAACAAGCATCAAAACTTGTTCCGAAGGAGTGAAAGCTACAAGGTAACCAATTTTACGGAACAGGTAGGCAGCCAGGGTCGTCAATAGTGAGCCAGAGGATTCCCCAACGCGGAAAGGGAGGCGTAGCTCACGGAATCTCCGCAGCATTTTTGTGAGCTATCTCAATATGCAGGGGCATCAGGGGGAGGGGGAGTGGAACTCTGGGGCAGATGAAAATTGCTCATGACCCTGGAGTCTCTCCTCCCCTGCCTAAGGTTTAGTCCCGTTTTCAACAAAAAGGAGATCTTACGTGGTTGTTTTAGGTACATTGCCACCATCATGACCCCGCACCTTGCGATAGTGCCCATTTTTGGAGAGGGTAGGAAAAGCTCTTGTTTGTGGAATAGGGAACGCTCGAAAAAGTTTTTTGTGAAAGATTTCACAAAAAAATCTGTAGAAATTGTGGAGTTTTAAGGCTCGGGCCTTCTCGGTTCTGTTTAGACAGCAGAACACACCCAATCCGACTCGCTTGTTAGGGTAAAATCAACGGTAAGATGCAGATAAGCCTTGGAACGAAGATTAACCGTAGAACGCCAGCAGGGCGGGAATGGGTACAGGGTCAACCGTCCGTTGGACAAAGTCCAACGAGGGGTGGGGGGTCATATTTGGGGGTGGAAAAGAGGGAGGGTCGTATTTCGCGAGGTAGCGTACGTTAACGTTACAGTAAGGGAGGGATGACGCAGTAGGCAGGCCGGGATTGAGTGTCGAGTGTGCAAATTTTGCCGTTTTATATTCGCTATATACACCCCCCCCCCCCACCAGCTGACACTAGGAGAAAAAGTGGCGGGTGGGCGTTCGACTGTCTCGGCGCGAATACTTCATAGAAAACATATTCTACAGAATCATCTCCAGATGCAGATGCAGCAGGGGGTGGCAGATGGTCGTTGACTGGTCTAACCACTGGGAGGGGGGGGGTGGTCGTACAAAGCTCCTTTTGGGCTGCCGACGAGGCAGAGCTAGGCGGGACAGGCCGTAAAATTTTCGAAATGGTCCAACCACGGACGATCACCCCTAAAGAGTAGGCTAGGAGTGTAGTGATATTCTTTTGCGAATTTCTACTAAAAAAACTTGATTCTGATCCCGAACCTGCACAATTAACTGCGCGATCAAAACATAACAAACCCAATAACAGAAACAGTAAACATACAACCTCGAAAAAATTAAGAAACGCATCATACCGAGTGCAAATCAGATCATCCACTCCACGAAGTTCAGCATTACAGCTATCCGTTCCACTATTAGAACGAGGGGCAGCAATTGATGTTTGGGAAGGGTTTCATTTTGACGTCCAACACACGCAAGCCCACTAATACTTCTGGGAAAAGATGTGGCCTGTCGTGAAAAGAGTTGTATGTGGTATGACCGGCTTTCAATGAGTTGGAGAACGCTTCATGAAATAAGGGTTTCCAATAGAAAATTGTGTCGATTGGTATTTGCTGTTCGTGATGTATCGCCTTCCCCGCTGGAGCCATTTCGAGGACCCCCAGAAAGCTGGGCTCAACTGGTCCCAAACCTCAGGTCTCAAACATCTCAAAAGTGGACGATACTATAAAACCAGCCTGGTGTGAGGGCTGTGGAGGTGTGATTGTATAGAGAGAAGGTATTCTTGTTGTGAGCCTCCTAGACTGACGGTGCTGGTGGGGGGCATCGAGACTCCCTTAATCGGGTCCGCAAATTTTGGAAAAGTGCGAACGCACAAGCGTTGACCCTGTAAAATGAGGAGCAACATTTCACGGTGCTTCTGAAGGCTTTGTAAATAAAACAACAAATAACGGAGTTGTGATATCTCTGACTGACCAGCTGTTGGCCATTGAAAGTAGCCTCTACTGGGCAAATGAAGGAAGTATAGCTAGCCGATGGCGTTCGCAAGCCGCCAACAGCTCATTAGCTGAATCAATGCCTCATCGACAAAATGGAGCCAGCCTTCCGAAAAAACAACGCCGAATCGTTGCAAACCGAATGCACCCACCCCATCGCTTCGAGAGAATGCACTCTTCCCGAACAACTCACTTCAGTGCGGATTTCAATCAGAAACGAATCAACGGAACTCACACTTGATGACACTCCATGCACCATATTGAGCCTTTCGCCAACGAGCTTTCAACAGCCATGACCTTACTTGGTTGATCAGCTCACGCATTTGTTCAGGATCTTGGCGAAGTAACTGAAGAACTTTTGTTGATACAAGAATACTGCGACTTCGTCAGCATACAACGGTTTCTAGATGACGTCCAGCATCGACTTAGTACCGTAATTTTTTGTTGTTCAAAAAGGTGTCCGTATACCTGCTCATGTTGCGGTGAGGGTTCAGCACTGGGCTCTCTCCAGGGTTGGCCTATTCAACACCGTGTTGGCTCATCTACTCCTGCGTCCTGGTTGGCGACCATCATGATCAAACCGTGCACATCAGCCTGTTTCAATTTTGTGAATACTTTTTATACCAAAGTAAACCCCTTTGACGACGTTGGCCCACCGGTGGGCCACACTTCCACTCGGAGGCGACCGTTTTTCGTTGTTTATTTGCCATTTTTTCATGCCTCAAAACTGCCCATATACACTAATGGATCCGCGAAATACTGTGCTCATTACTAATAATGAAATTGTTAGAGAATTTATGACTACTGAAGAAAAAATTTAAAAAGAAATGAAGTGACGCACGCACAACGGCGGTCGTCAAAGGGTTAATGTCGTCCACAGGAACCTCCCATTTGAATTTTTTGATATTTTTGGAGCTTTAGTGAACAAAAGTCAAATAAGCTAAGTGAATTTTCCGAATGATCGGAGCTTTGGATTCTCTATTCCGCTTGAGCAGCTGATTTTCCACTTTTCCTTTCAGCTCGTGGTAAATTCTCAAAAACTCGAAAAAAACACCTAAGCTCACGCTGCCTCTCTGGCATTGAGTTAATATCACCTCCCCCCCCCCAGGGTCGGTCCTATCGTTGCTTTCGAAAATTCTTCGCGACGCCCCTCTTTAAAACGATTTTTAACCCCAAAAAACATCTTTTTGGAGGGGGGAAAATCAGCCTCCAATAACGGCAAATTTTCCCCCGCGCCGCTCCCCACACCACATGCAGCTTCTTAAACCGAAGCAAGTACGACCCCCCCCCTCTACAAACTCATCAAAATACGACCCCCGTTGCTACTTGTAGCAACATAGGGTTGACCCCTGCCCCCCCCCCCTCCTATCTTGAAATTATCGCCTACCATGCGTCTTCCAAATAGCTGTGCAAACCTGCTACAGTAATCCCCGAATTTCTAAACAAATCCTGCCACTGAATAAGAGAGCTCCTGATGGATGACATGCCCTCAGACTATGCAGATGACAATTAAAATATGTTGAGGATCCGTACAGCTGAAGAGCCGTTTGGCGATGATCAGTCACTCTCTGAGAGCCAGACATTCATGGCTCTTTAGAGTCATGGTGGCATTTAAATGTGCAACTGGCTGTACAAAGATTTGTTCTAGACAACCACAATTTGACGTTTTGTTCTCTTGTTAGACGACCATGGGACCGACAAGCCAATTCAGGAGAGACGACATATTTGGTCAAGGTGAATAACGGTCGCGGAAATCCTCGACCATGGCTGTAGTCCTTGACAGCAATGCCTCGTGATTCACGTCAGAACGAACATCGCGCTGATATTCTGCCAAACTAGCTCTTACTGGAAAATCGCGTAATCAAGTAAGCGTGCTGGCTTTTTGAGGCAATTCAGCACCGCCAATGTACCAGAAAGTGCCTTTGCCCACGTGCATACCGGGGACTCTACACGAAAATCAAGGGACACAGTTGACAAGGCAGAGAAAACGTTTTCATACCCAAAGCATATAGCTCGTCCCCACCAGGAAAAGGCACAATAAATGAACCCTTAACATCCGTCTCAACCTCCAGCTCATTTTGAAAACAAACTCCACATCCCTTGAAAAAGTTCTCATAAAGAGATGGGAGGCAGTACTTCAAAAATGAGAGCAATGTAGAGCAGGTCTCAAAAGTTCTCATAAAGCAACACCCACAGCAGAAGTCGTAAAGAAGAATCTATTCAGTGGGTGGGATAGAGTAGCCACGAGTATCACAGATGTGCCGTTGTCGCGGCTCGAAAGTGCGCGACAATGGCGCTAGGGTCTTACAAAGTCAGCTTTTGGCGACTAATCTTAGCATTTGGACGAGTTACGTCGCGCACACCCCATGACACGCAACGTGGATTACGGCGTAGCGGCTAATTCAAAACGCGCGGGTTAGTTGAGCCGTGGAGCAGGCAAGTTCGTACAATCTCGTCCGGCCCCGCCCTTCTTGTTCCGACCGCTAGCACGGGTCGCCCTATCACGAGTCTCCCAATACGCATCAGCCTGAACATTTTCGAGTCCTTAGAATATGTCTGAAGCAGGCAAACTCTACCCTTCTCAAACCTCCTCGAGAGCATGACGCTCTTTGCGTCTTTTTTAGTGAGTAGGAAGGACTACTCGTCACCGACATAAGCATTGAGGTCTATTGCTCGCGATACCCTAACTGCTTACCTGATCGAATTCGGCAAACTTGCCCGGCCGGAAGAATACCTTTGTCTGTCCAAATTTGAAGTCGATATTGTTCAAGCCGAGAGCATGGAAAAGACACTGCAATTTGATAAAAATAAAAGATCCCCTGAATCGTTCTATCGAAAACTTGCATACTTTACTTCGATCTACATATCTGTGAATTTTTTCTGTTACCTTGCAGAAAAGTCTGGGATCAAGCCGTGCCAAATCTGGAGGTAGTTGACGCTGATACATGTTGTAGAGATCGGCAAATGATGTCCTTAACAATGAATAATGGAAACAATCTACTTTTAGTGAAAGTTCTACTGCTACATTCCCACTACCACACTATCCGGGCACACAAGTAATTTGGGTAAGATTACTGTACCTCGACGGGAATCCTTTCTGCATCAGTTTGAGTACGCTGGCCATTCCTGCACATTTCAACTGCGACAATATAGCCGCACCATCACAAACACCGGCACTCATTGACGAGTTCGGCTTGACACAACGCACAAAATGAGTGCCCTAAAAGAAGAAATTGGGTTTTGGGTTATACCGTCCATGATGCCATTTCGTACTTGATAGTCGCAGCACATGCGTGCGCCATCCGTTCGTTCTCAATGTGTTTCTAGGGGGTGGTAGCCTCTCAAACACCGTCACTACCATCCGTTAGTCAGATACCTTCGTAGCCCTTGCACGATCATGTAGTTCATTACAAGATGCATATTCAACTTCGGTTGAGTATTCGGGAAAATAGAGATGGTGTGGGGGGAATTGGAATCATGACGCGGTAAATTCACTAATTTTGTCTACTTCACCGTCTATTCACGAAATTTTCGCCACGTCGTCGAAGAACCCGTCAACTGAAACTCTCATTTTACTATTTTCGTTCACACTTTTCACGGAGGTAATTAAGCAGCCCAATCCCATCCTCAACGGAACGAACATCACCGAATGCTCCAGCTACGTGTACCTAGGTCGGGAAATCAATATGATGAACGATCTAGCTCCAGAGCTGAGCAGGAGGAAACGAGCGGCTTGGGGAGCGTATAAGAACATCGAGGGAGTAGTGAAGAAGACGAAGAACATCCGGCTCCGTGCCCACCTCTTCGATTCCGCTGTCCTTCCTGCCCTAACCTACGCCTCAGAGACTTGGACTCTGCGCAGGCAGGACGAGCATGCGGTCAGCGTTATCCAACGCGCTGTCGAGAGGACGATGCTAGGAGTAACCCTATACACGCAAGTGCAGAGGGGAATCCGGAGTGCCGAACTACGCCAACGATCGAAGATCAGGGACGCTGCCGTTTTCGCCAAGGAATCGAAGATAAGGTGGCCGGACACGTCATGCGATTTTGCGATGACCGTTGGACCAGAGCGGTTACCGACTGGATCCCTCGGGACGTCAAACGAACACCTGGACGACCGCCGGCCCGATGGTCAGACTTCTTCACGAAAGCTCTGAACGAAAGGAATGAAGGACTTCGTGTCCCTCGAGCGAGGAGGGTCCACTGGACAACTCTGCACGCGACAGGGACGAATGGAGACGTTGCTGGCGCCCGCTCGAGCAATTCGATGATCAACGGGACGACAGGTGATACAGGTGATACCCCACCACCTTTCCCTACCATTGTAATCCCATGTGTGACTCCCTCTGTTGAAATAGTGGCGAACGAAGTTGACCTAATTTCTAATCTATCCTTGCTGATCGCGGTTCCTTCGAACGGACCTGTAACAAGCAATAAGACCCATTTCAGCCTTGAGAACTACTATTGTTCGATACAACAAGCCGAATTTGGGTAGTTGTTACCGTTTCTTTTAGTTTCTCCAACAAGACCGTGAGTTGAGTACGGAATTTCCCTCCAACAGTAGCAGCTTGAAGACGTCCGCCACCTCCTCGCCGTCCTGGAGCCGGTTCAGGAGCATGACTGCCCTCGAACAGATTGCGAATGAACTTCACACTGAAAAGTTAAAATATAAAAACGCGTTCCCGAAGAAATCAAAAGCTAAAGTTGATTCGCACAATTGAATGTGTTAGAGGCAGATTTCACGATGAAAAGGTACTAGCTCATTGGAAATAAGTGTATGGACAGTGGGGTCTTCTTTTCGTCCGTATTCTTTATTCTTACTCTCTTAAACGTTCCCTTCAAAGGAGGATTCCACGATAAAGAAGGTCAAAGAAGGGGAAACTCATATAGTGGAGGCAGACAGACCTCCCAAGGCTACGGACGGAACCACCAATTCCTATCAAATTGATACCCCGGTGTCTCACATACCCTCTCCCGGTGTTGCGCGTGGCGCAACTGTTGGCGCGATTATCGCCCCCCACTCTCGTGTCTGAGCAAAGAAGGGGTCCATTTCCTCGGTCTCAGCCATCTTTCTCCCCGCTTTCCCTTCCTTCCTACATCACTAGCCACTCTAACTAACCAGTGACTCGCCTCTTCCATCGTAAAAAAATCTTTCAGAGGTATCGCTATCGACATGGCGATGAATTGGCTGCTGCTAGTGTTGGTCTGATGGCTTTTTATGCATGGTCAGAAAATGGGACAGTAATCGGGAGACTTCCAAGTGAAATAAAAACGAGTACAACATTGTCTTAAATACTGCTTTAAGGTTTGATTTTCAGCAGCGTATGACTACGTAGAAACCTATGACAAAAAAATGTGCACAAAAAATGCGCAAACCTGCTCTGTTCTACGAGGAATTCGAGAGAATTGTGCAGCGTGTCGTTGTTCTTCTCTAGGAACTGCGCCGTCTGATAACAGACAGTACCAGCATAATGGCGAACAAGGAACGCCTCGTCCTCACGGAGATCGCGATGTTGTCGCAGACGTGAACGACGCGGACTCTAAACGCACGTATTCTCGTAGATAAGGATTATACAAGCGTATTTTATATGCAATGGATTGAGTTTAACAGTTTTCTTTCCTCAAAGCTACAACATTTGAATTGCTAGGCAGATGACAGTCCTACTCCCGTCTACTTTACCCCCTTTACCCTAATATCATCCTCACAAGTGTGATACAGTTTGTCATGGGTGGTAGTGGCGGCCATTCGAATTACGTCGCGCCCTTGAAAAGTAAGCGGGTGTCTCTCAAGAGGCCCATCGCGCGGCGAAGGAAGAGACGCAGAACGCGGCAAAGGACGAGTCGCAGCGCATACTGTAGCATATCGCACAGCACCCGCTGCGACTCGTCCTTTGCCGCATCTGCGTTTCTTCCTTTCGCCGCGCGATGGGCGCCTCTTGGGGAACACCGAAAAGTCCGTCCTCCTCGTTGCAAAAGGTACGGCGACTTTGTCATAACCAATAGTCGCGCAATTTAGCCACGGGTAACAGACGATAAACCGTCGTGATGCGCAAAATCTAACGGCACACATCAAAATTAAGTATTGAAATTTGCCAAATTCCTGATGCTAAAACGAAGTTGAAAAGGGGCCTCGCGCTTGCCAACGCAGCTCCTGTTCATTGCGACCGCAGCCACTAAGTTGGCGTTGCGCCGCTTGTATTTCCCAACCTACTGCCACATGGCTTCGAAATAGTAACGGCCGCTAGGACTGAGCCTTAGAGGCGCAGATGAACAGAACGCCCCGCCACAACGCGGCCCCTCCAACTATGTTAGCACAGCCTCTTTCAGAATCGCGATCGATAATTGAATTGTTTCTGAGTAGACGGTCCTCTGAGCGCCAAATTTACCAACACTTTTTCCCTTACAGACGAATGGGCATAATCTCATAATTTTTATATCTAGCATTTTTTTCCATTTTACAGCTTGACTTCAGCTTGCATCTGTTTATAACAAACTGTGCTCACCTCCAAGCGGAAATGCCCTTTGTTAGACTCATAAGCCGCCATCGTATAGTGCTGAGGGGTGGGTCGAGGTAGGCGAGACTCCTCGTCGAGTAGATCGAGCAGACCGGATGGCTTCTTCTCGAAAAGCTCTGGAAAATACAAAAATTCTAGTGACGAGTAATGATAAAGGAAAACATTCGGCGACGATCGATCACTTTCTAAAATGCGCCACGCATCCTCTCCAGTTCAGTGTCGGACTGACATTCGAACGATGTGACCAATACGATGGCTTACGGATTCGACCGACTACTCACAACTCATTACTTTTACGTTCTCAGACGTTTAGGGTGACAATTACCCTGAAAGGAGGAGATGCTTGGTTGATCTGGGAGAGTGTCGAAGTGAAATGTAATTTCATGGCAAAGAGGGTGATATGGTAGGCAGCGCCACTTGGCGCTGCGCCACCTGCGCCCAGATGGACAACGGTAAAATATTGGAATACAAAAATCCAGCCTTAATTGGCGAGGGTTGGAAATCGTGAGTCCTGTGAAAAGAATGAACCTCACCCGGATTTAAGATCTGGTTGGGAGCATCCCGAGCTTTTCTAAAGGTGCGCAGCCCACTTTTTTGGGCTTTGACCAATTCTTCCGGCCTAGGCCTGCTGTCAGAGTCGTCGCGCAATTCGCGCGAGTGTCGATGTTGCATGAAGTGCTGAACGCTTTATCGAAGGCAAAGGTATAACCATTACTCCCCACCACTTACCAATACAATCGTGATTGTCTGAGTATTCGATTTTTGGCACATTCAGTCCTTCCTTGGCGTAGAGCTCCTGCTCCTGTTTCAGTATACGCTCGTTGAAAAAGTCCTGCAGCTTCTCGTTACAGTAATTGATGCAGAACTGCTCGAACGAGTTCACTTCGAAGAATTCTGGAATTGGACTGGCTCAAAGAATAGTCAAATCTCCTCTTAGTTCCTAGCTGAAAAAACTTTTCCTTACCAAATCCGGCTATGTCAAGCACGCCAATGTAGCTGACACTTTTCTCGAATGGTATTGATTTATTGATTCGCGCAACCAGCCAATCGAACAACTTCGAATAAAACGCCTTCGCCAGTGCGTCACGCCCTGCAGCAGCTTCGTGTGGTCAAGGGAACCCTGAATTATTTATTTCACTTCAAAATTTTCCACGAAACCAAAGAGCGTCAATTCAAACCCTGATGAGGTCCTTTGACTCCGCCCTTCGTGGCCTGCATAATCCTTGACACAAGGCCCATCTTCATTTCGGCCACTTCTAAGCCGAGCAGTTCAGAGGCAATCACCAACGCTTCCTCAGTCTCTGCGGCCACCTTGCAACCACCTGAAATCCTTATATGGACTGGTGCACTACCAGAACCACCTCTACAGGTGAAGTGCGAGTATAACTGATACTCTTTCCCAGAAACTCTGCTAATGGGGGGAGGGCTCTGAGCTACCTCGATGTCATTCGGTTTTCATCGAATTCTACATTGCCCAAGTGTAGCACTCCTGCAACCGTACACCATATATCACCGATCTGAAGGCAAAACTTGATTAATGAATCCCCAGATTGCGATAGTATCACTGCACCTCATCACTGGTGAGTCCGGCTCTTCCAAGAGCATCCACGAGATGTGAGAAATCGGCCGCATCGTCAACGATCGCGTCGATCAGCAGACCAGATTTCGCGCCTATAAAATTGTACGTTCTCTGATATTTGAGGGCCATTCAAGTGACTGAGTTCTTTTCTAAGGTTGAAGTGAATGGGCGTGGTCCAGCTTCAGTACATCTATACGTGCTATGAAAACGTATATTTACTAACAAAAAAAACATTGAGAGCAAGTAGGAGATGAATAGCCGAGAAAAAAGTGGGTGCTTTCGAAGTGGAACACAGGTCAACGAAAGCTGTAGCAGCCGAAATGTGATGAATATACACTAAAGTTCGGACCAACAGCGAGTTCTAGTAGTCCGTCCCTGAAGCGGCTGTACGATGGGTTTCTAGAATGGGTTCACAGGAACGTGGGGTGCTCTAATATCGACGCCGATGCGACAAAAAAAGGAAAGAATAAAAGGAACCGCGAAGAAGTACGCCCTGCTTGGCCGCCGGTTTTTGCGAATCACTAACCGGAAGCTGCGAATAAGGTGGATGCATGGACAGAGTTTTAGCAGGTAGCAGCGGCTTCTGATGATACCACAAATCGCGCTGTAGTGTTGAGTTGCTTCAGTTGTGCCGTCTGTTGGCAACACAGCTCGTTAACATTGACACTAAACTGGCCGTGAAGGTTTGGGGTGGAGCGCTTTTTCAAAGAATTGCTGAGCAACCGCATCACAGTCGTAAAGCGCACACCTCGCTTTCTGGCAGCCAAGTAACTCATTTGTGTGGCCGTCACACGCCTTCCCGGATGCGCTCGCCTTGTTCTATCCGTAAAATCCCTTCCTTTAAGTGAAACCTGCGAGCAAACCGGCAAGGATAGCCTCGATGGGAGACGGGTGAAGGGGCAACTTAAGTCCTGGAGATGCGTCGGGGAAGGTGCAATTGGTGTTTTTTTTTCGGAGAGAGTGCAGTGCCAATCCAGTTAGGTACAGCACCTTTTGGGAAAAGTTAACCTTCACGAGAAATCTCACGGATAGTTGTTCCTCGCGTTTGTTTTTACTAAACCGCTTTTCCCCCCCTACTAACCCCTAACTCCTTCCAACTCGACGCCACAATTTGTTCGATTTAAGTTTTTACGTCCAAATGAATAGTATGGAAAGATGACCATCTGGAAAGAAAGACTGGGATCCTTAACCGGGTAAGAGGGGTGACCGAGCCGTTGGGAAGAGAGGAAGCTTTTGTTTCAATCATCGCCCACCATGGCTAAAGACGGCGTCCGCCAATAATGGGACTTGTGAGCGCCGTAGGACTCAGATCTGAATAGTCCCAAACAACAAGCGACATCGAACATAAAGGTCTCGCGTCAGGATGTCCCGACCAAGTAACTCTACGACTAGACATTGATTTTACGCGGCGCCTAATCAAATAAGAACCTGCACGGGTTGCTGGTGAAGATGGTTGTATAATACTGAAAGCACAACAACATATGCCATACCTGCTCGCTGAGCCGATCGGAGCTGACCTTCGACTTGGAGCCAGGCCGCACAAAGAAGGTAGTCGTGCCATACTTCAGATACTGTAAAAAAAAAAATGCTATCCGCTGGAGAACTTTAGCGAAAGACCTCAGAGAAAAGAGACCGAATTGATAAGTAAGGAACCTTGAACTTATCCGGAGGCGCTAGCCGAAGCTTTTTGTACAGGTCACTTGGAGCTCCAGCAATCAACTGGTAGAAGATGTGGTAGTTCCGTTCGCCGTTAGCCTGCCGACACACTCTCGACTTTCGAGGAAGATAATGGACAACAAAACTCCAAGCGACTTTGTCCTTAATAAAATAGTACTTGATTATTTTAAATTCTTTTTCGGCGTCGCTTGATCACCTAAAGACCTACATCCGTGCCAAAGTGGATTTCAACGAATTTCCCGAATCGACTCGAGTTATTGTTTCGGAGCGTTTTCGCATTTGCAAACGCTTCCAAAATTGGATTTGCTGAAAGCAGTATTAGAATAAAATCATCAATTTCAAAAGAGAATTAACTCGACTTATGCAGAAAAAAACAGAAAAATAATTTTATGGAGCGATCAGTTACGACTGAAGAATTGACTGCATATTGAAAATATTCCTGAATACCACCTTTTGAAATTTTCATTTGTAGACGGGAGGGGAGGGGGGAGCAGCGCTTGACGGCTTTACAAAACGTAGTTGAAGCAGTCCGTAGACGAAACATGGGGCCACATGCTATAGTTTCCCAGAGAGCATCTCCTATATGGAACTTGTTTTTCAGAAAACGATCATATTCACCCAGTCGAAATTCGAAAGCACCTCTCCTAGATATGGCTTAGTGGTGGATAGGCTGTGGCTGAGGCATCGCCTGGGATTACAAGGCTGCATACTTCGCCCGATGACGTGGGCAGCAGACAAGCATGGGTTCACCACCATTCTGGGAGCCGGCTAGAATGTGGCCTGATCCGAAGGCAGTAGGATTCCGCTTGACCCGTGGTCCACACCTTAGTGGGCAAGCCCCCGCTTTCATAATGGAGCTGGAAGATGGGTAATCGGCAGCGCTCTCCTATGATAGGAGCCATTATCATGGCAGTGCATTCAGGACCCTGCAAAACATTTCCTTTCTGCTAAAGAACGGCTTCTAATCCCTTGGGCAGGAGAGAAAGAAGCACCCCATGGGGTACGTAAGCGATTTATACTGTTCTCCGAAGTTTCGGCACCCTCCTGGGCATAGTCTAGAAGGTTGCCCCGCCGTATACGTGATAGCGCAAATCGGCAGTTCTTTTGCTCCTTTTCCTTTCCAGACCAATCCCTACCACCAGCTTACTCAGTGGACGCTCTTAGACACTTTATCCCGGGCTGTGCCTTTAAAGCACACCTCACGATCAAATTGACGTGGTACTTCTACTCAAATATGTCTGTGGGGGTGCAAAGGGGTCCCAGTTGAGAAAAAAAGGGTAAAGAAATCAGCAAAAGACATAAAGGTCTTGAGAGCGGGGGCACCCTTTCAAGTCAGGCTTAGTAATCGAGCAGGTGCTATCGCAAGATACGGGGCATCCTCTAGAAAAGCCTATGTCAGGAATCTTGGGGGTCAGGGAGCTTACTCATTCTGAGTCTCTTTCCTCTTGCCTAAGGCCTAATCTTGCTTTTAAAAAAGGGGAATATTTACACTGTTTTATGCAGTGCTACCATATAAAGTGCTACCATGCCCCATATCTTGCGATAGCGCCCGTTAGCACACTGTAACGTCCGATGACTTTGGAAACAAACATGGTGTCTCATTACCGAGGGCACCATTGCCAGAGTAAAAGGAAATGAGTAATGAATTGGAACGAACTCTCAAGTATGCGCTTCTGAATGGGACCGGCTGCAGCTCCCCAATTCTCACAAAGGTACCTGAAAACAAACAACTTAGCTGAAAAATCTCAATCATTGTTACTCTTAATGAGCCCGTACTATTTCAAAAGCGGACGAAAAAATTGTAGGAATTAAGCATTATACGTACAGGATATCGGAAGTATGCAGCAGCCATACCTCAATATAGCCTTCTGTGATTCCGTTTTTCCAGCACCAGATTCTCCAGACACAATGATTGACTGAGATTCTTTATTGCGTCTCATCTCACGATAAGCTTTGTCAGCTGAAATGCAGGGCAATCTCTTTTTTCAACCACACTTTTTCCTATCATCAGATATTTCTTTTTTGCGTCAGTTTTTCTATTGGTTTCCTATCATCGCTACAATAATACGGTTATTTATAAGGAGAACATGGCCAAATTCTGTTATGTTAGTTTTGTGATGGAATGTTTGGGTGGCCTAGACTGCGTACAATTATTTGATCCTCTGACCGTGTGCGTGGTAAGCCCACCACTTACCACTACACCATTTTCGCACTTCATGCAAGCAAAAAACCCGGGTAAGCCTTTTAACGGCAGCTTTTTGTACTTTTCGACCAGAGTCAACCCTGCGTTGCGCAGTTCGCAACGGCACGTTGAGAGATCCTCAACGCACGCTGTATGGGCGGAGACGCAGACGGCTCGAGCATGCGAGTGTGAATGTTCGCGCGAGAGAACGTGTCTAATCGGGCGAAACTGGGGTGTCCCCCAACAGGCCCACCGCGCGGCGAAGCAAGAGACGCAGATGCGGCAAAGAGACGAGTTGCAGCGCGTGCTGTGCGATATGAGACGTAGTATGGTACACTCTCTTTAACCTGACGCCTAACCGCTACAGTATGCGCTGCGACTCGTCCCTTTGCCGCGTCTGCGTCTCTTGCTTCGCCGCGCGGTGGGCCTGTTGGGGGACACCCGGCGAAACTGCGCACGTGGCGTTGAGATCTGCGCAACGCACGGTTGACTCTGCTTTCGACATTTCTCTGCAATACAACTTGAATTACATTTACTTCTAGTCACATCTATTTATTCATTTATTTATTTAATTCTCCATTCATTTACTTTATTTATTACATTTATTACTAATTTTATTACATTTACTATTACATTTATTACGAGTTCAAATGAGGGACCATTGTGCACCAACCCTGGACCAATTTGTCCGACACGTACGAAAGTGTAGATGAAAAAAATGTAGAAAAAAAAAGAAATAATGAGCCATGTTGGCTTACCAACTGCGTAGACGTGTGGTGGCATTTGTCCTAGTGACTTTCCTCGATACTTCTTTATTGTATCAATTGAATAAAGACCATCGATTTCTTCGTATGGGTTAATAGAGATGAGTATATTGGCAACATATGTCTGAAAGGTCACCACATCAGAACACCGTAATCCCTTATTTCTGGGCGGGATCCACTGAAAACAAGCAGAATCGATTATTGATATGTGCTCACATAAATTTGCTTTTTCACATAACGTTGTCGACAATTGTTAAGAAGAGTTCCTTCATTTAAATACATCAGTGCACCTGAAAGTGAAGCGATCATCCTATCAATTCCACCAGTGATCAGAAACCTTGTGTTCTATTCAGTATACATGGAAATGAAATCAACTAACAATTGTCGTCAACGGTTTTCTTCGGATCGTCCTCGGCCGGGAAGACCTCATCGTAACTTGCTTTGATCTGAATAAAATATTTCACCAAGACAATTGGAGCGGAAAATTGTTCATATGGCCTGAATGAATTGCTAACTAGGCCAGTTTTTTTGATGTGAAACTTGCTGTCTTTGGCCGCGTCGCCATACAAAAGTTATGAAAATTCTGGGATATAGGCCAATTTTTAAAGGTTAAACATCGCTAGCACAGCCGCCCGGAAACCGAGAAAATGCTGAAAGCCGCATAGTTTTGCAGGTAACCCCAGCATTCTTGTCATTGATTTTCATGCCTATGTTCTCACGCCATAACTTTTTAAGAGAGCAGCCGAAGCTTTCAGCTCGAATAAGAAGCATCCTTTGCTAATTTTGCTAAGTAGACTAATGCGTGATCTAATTTTAGCCGAACGCACTCGCTCTTGCAGTGGTATTGGTGAAGCCACGAGTCAGGATTAGGCGATCCGCATAGACGGCCCTTCCTGACCTACTATGGCAGGACTGCCTCAAAGGGATGCCGCCGACCGCCCTTGCGAATCCCACGCGAATACGCAGGACGAGCGGTTGAGACTGCTTGCTTCCGAATAATGCACCAGCGACTCGACAATATGGGAAAGTAGCAATGGTTTTTCTCATTCACAGTCGACTCTTGTTACTTTCACAGGTTAGCATAGGCATAACAGCATGGGCACCAGTGTTAAGAGGTCAACGTGAGAAAATGAGAGGACTCACTCACTCCACACAGTCAGTCGTGGCGCCGTCGGTTCAATACCCCGCCCTCGATCTCGCTAGCGGAATTACAAAGTCTGTCACATTACCAGCACCTATAGGTGTTGCTCGCACCGGTTACTGGAAGTAAACGGCGGCCTAGGGCCCCCCCCCTTAAAGAAATGGGCCCAGCTGGCGCACGTCTGTGCCAAGGCCCTAGCCTAATCACACGGCTAAGGCCCTAGCGCCCTTGCGGCGCACTTTGGAGTTGCAAGAACGGCACATTTGCAATCTTCGTGGACGCAGATCGTATCGCTAACCTTAAGGATTGCTCCCTCTAAAACTCGTCTCCAGAAGATTTCGACAAATGCATTGGATTGCCCTTTTCCTCTGCGTACTGCGCACCTTCCGTGCCTGACAGGAACGAATGATCATGGTTGCCGAGTAAAGATTTTGCTTAGCGACAAATATAATAGGACGGCAGATAGCAGTTAATCGCTGAGGGCACCGGTGGGTAATTGCCTTGCTTACATGCTTTTCTGACAGCCGGTATCTCGACAGGCTCGTCTGTCTATTTCTTCTCCTAATCAACCCTTGCGTAGTATATTGCTTTCCCCAGCTCATGCACTTGTGGAGCGGGGAAGGGGGAGCAGGATGGAAGAATGTTTCAAAGCAAAAAGGAATCCAGGAAAACTGAAACCGCAGCAATCAAGTTGAGTCGCATAGTGGTAAGAGCCTCCGGAAGCCTGATTACTTCGTTTTTCCTGCACTTCCTTCCCCCTTCTAGTTTAGCCCTTAGGGAGTTGAACGAGCGCCGCCGTGCCTCCCCTACAAGGGAGGTCTTTCAGGGGCAAGGTGCGCTTTTTCAAAACGGTTTGTGCATATTGTAGGGACGCATGTAGGGAACGCAAAACCATGTTTCATTTTCGCTGAACGGTTATAGCAGTACCAAAAAAGAAGCATAAGGTACTGTTAAGGGTTCGATCCCCCGTGGCGACTAAATTTTGCATTTGGGTTGGCGCCTGCGGTTTGGTGCCAAATCGCGCTAAATATCAAAATCAGATGTCAAATTCATCCGTCAGGACCATGAAACAGGCAAACATGCGCGCGAACTTAATGCAAACTTAGTCTCGGGGATTAAACCAGAACAGATTTTTGGACCTTACGATTATTCACCACTTTTTTGGTACTACTAAAACCGTTCAGCGAAAACGAAACATGGTTTTGTGGTCCATACATGCGTCCCTACAACATGTACTAAACCGTTTCCAAGAAAGCGCACCTTGCCCTGAAAGACCTCCCTTGTTAAGCCTATAATGGCAACGCTTTTCTTCCCGGGTAAGCGCGGACGAACACAGCGCCGCGTCACTGTGACAATGACTCCTTCAGAAAGATTTCTATGAAACAAAGGTCATCGTGGTTTTCGTGCTCTGAGTATCTTGCTCCATTATGTTCCCTCTCCCCCGTTCCAGATTAAGGCCTCAATTTTTTCCCCGATTCTGTCCACTTTCCGTTTCCTTTGAGGGCTAGACGTCTCCTGTAACCTGTCTCCTGTACTTTCAGATGCTATCACACCACCCTGGCTACCAACTGCTAATGCACTTGATGTTAACATAGCAACATAAAGTAAGTGGGCTTTATCAGAAAACAAAAAAATAATCACAATCATAGCACCACAATAGACGATACCACAAGATCGATCCGGTTCCCACCCGTTCCCTAATTCGGTCGTTTTCTCTATGCCGTTCATATTGGCGATCGTACGTGCGATTGGGCACGTAGACGATCCAGCCGCGATAAGGAGGATGCATACTGATTTGTGCTCCGCCCATTTAGCGATCGCTTGATCGCCATTTGCCTCCCTAATTGCCAATGATCTGAGCTGAAATCTTTCGTTATAGACTAATCCCTACCCGCCGCATGCGCACTACGATCACCAACTCTGAACGCTCTATCAGTTTCCTTCAACTTGCCTGTTTGATATGGGGAGGAAGTATACTGGTGAATGATTAGATATGCTCACGAACCTACAGACATGGCATATAGAGAAATTGAGACACCAAATGAATGGGTGGGGGAATCCTACTTATCCCAGATCTGCGTCATTATATGCAGGTATTGAGTTTGGGGGAATGAAAAGACCTTGAAACTTTCCCATTCTTGACTGCCCTTTAAATTCCGACGGTTACGGAAAATCATGCGTTCCTACAGCAGAATCCGGTAGCCGGCGCTCATGTCTTTAGGGAGAGGGGGGACATCCAAGTGAGTGAGCCAATTACTGTGCTTGGGACTAAGCTCTATGAGGAGGAGAAGGGATCCTGGGGGAGCATCTGTGAGCAATTTGTGTTCTCCCTGGCGTTTCTCCTTCTATGCTGGCTTAGCCCTGGTCACACCTACCATTGGCCCTGAACTGTCCCCCCCCCCCTCCGGAAGGACATGAGCGCCTCCTGCATCTTTTTAGTATACGCAAGCCTACTGACCTACCTCGCATGTGGCCGGCGACGCGATCAGAGAATAAACTTCACAGCGATTGATGAGCTCGCTCTAACTCGTCACCCACCTTTTCGTTATCAAGAGGATCACAGCTCAAAGGTATTCGGTCTGATTCATGACAACCGAAGCGGTAGTACACCCTCGCCGAGTCTACCCTTTACTATTCACTGCTAGGTACTGATGACCTTTTAGATTGCTTCTTTCTCAAGAATCACAAGCGCTGGTGTGCTAAAGAGAAGCATTGCGGCAGGAAGCACTCAAGGCTTCCACACCACGACGGATATTTCCACGCTACTTCACAGTTAGCCCCTTTGCCGCAGAATCCTAACATCCGTTATAGCTTCCTTGGCAAGAACTGGTTCATGTCCTAATGCCTGTACGAACAGCAGCGCCGCGATGCCCCCCCCCAAGTGCAGTAGTGCCAAACTGCACTAACAAGCGCAATAACGAAGCAGTTAAGATGTCTTACTTGACCGTTGCCGTCCTTCCGCACCACTGTGATATTCTCCGTACCGATGTCGTCGAGTGTCCCCAACACGTATCCTTCTTTAGCATCCGGGGCCCACACCTGACGACCAAAATCCCGTGCAGCCATCTCTGCAATGGACCAAAGTTTACAAGATAGCTCACTTCGGCTTCAGAAGACCGCACCACTCACTCAAGGAACCGACAAGCGGCGATGTTAGTAGAGTAATGAAACACCCCTCATGAGAGCTCTTACTGACTTTTATCAATCGTATGGAAAGGTTGACTGATAAACAAAACAAGTTACGGAGCGTTCATAGTTGGCGATCGTACGTGCGATTAGGCGATCAAGCGATTAGGCGGTGACTCAAAAGGAAAAGTACACGTATCGATTAAGCGATTAAGCGGGTAGGCGATAAGGGAAGGATACGTATTGATTTGTTGCATCCCCCACTGAGCGATCGCCTAATCGCCTAATCGCGCACGCACGATCGCTAACTCTGAACGCTCTATTAGAAAAGAACTTAACGCTAGAACCACCTGTAGAGTACATAGTTTATAAAAGGTGAAGCGATCAATTCTCCTGGAATGCGCCATGTACTCGTTCTCCATTCGTAGTAGTTGTGCAATTTGCACAACAGCCCTAGGAATTAGATGCGAGGCTGGCTTGTACTTGAGCCACTGCTTTCTCCTCCCAGACAAACTTGGGACTGCTTAATGAATATCAAGAACGGTCATAGTGGATTGGAGCTATTAGGCCGATGTCAGACTTTGCGAATCGCGCGATTCGCTACTAGCGATTCGCGCGATTCGCGCGTCCGCGGTCGCGTTGCGGTACCAGCCAATTGAGTGATTCACTGGCCGCGACGCGACCGCAGACGCTAGCGAATCGCGCGATTCGCAAAGTCTGACATCGGCCTAATACGAAATCCTCGAGAGGGGAAGTGCCAGTTCCACATCGAAGCAGTGGAACGGTTGACCCTGCTACTCTGAGGGGAGAAGCATGGGTCAACTACTGAAAACCTCACAATAAGTCTTATTCTTCTTCTTCTTATTCTTAGCGTTTGTCCCGCTTGTTGGCGGGGTCCGCTTTTCTGATGTGCTGACGCCACTTTTCCCGATTAAATGCTTGGTCGGGGTGATGTTAACCGACTTCAAGTCTGCGTGCAACGTATCGAGCCAGCGCTGTTTCGGGCGTCCCTTAGGCCGCTTTCCGGCACGTCAAGGCTGAAGCTGATCTTACGGACACTGTCATCTTTTGCGCGAAGAACATGACCGTACCATCGAAGACGGGCTTCGCGCATCTTGTCGGCAATTGGAGCCACACCGAATCGCTCTCTGATGACTTCGTTTCGAATGTGGTCTAGTCGTGTGACTCCAGCTGTCCAACGCAGCATCTTGTCTCCATCACACTGAGACGGGCTTCGACTTCTTTAGTCGCAGGCCAGCACTCGGCACCGTAAATCGCGACTGGCCGGATGACGGTTCTATAGATCTTAGATTTGAGCCGTTCTGGTATGTTCTTATCGCACAGAACGCCAGTCATTGCGCGCCATTTCGACCACGCTGCACTCACGCGAGAATTCGCTTCAGAAGCCAGACTGCCATCAGCCGCGATTGCTGATCCAAGATACTTGAATGTCGTTGTACGTGTAAGCTCAGTACCATTGATATTGATAGAGCCTGGCTCACACGATCGGTGGTCAAGTACTCGGTCTTTTTGACGTTCAACCTGAGCCCGAACATAGCCAGGCGGTCGGACCAGGTTTGCACTTGTTGCTCGAGAGTGCTTTTATCTTCGCTGGCGAGCATTACATCATCAGCATAAAGAAGCGTCCATGGAACCGGCTTCTGATGATCTCTCGAAATGGCATCCATGACGACAACAAATAGGAGTGGGGATAAGCGCAGAGCCTTGGTGTACCCCGACAGAGATGGGAAAATCCATCGATGTGCCTGCTGCCGTTTGCACTCGGCTCTTTGGACTCGAGTAAGGATGCGCACCCACTCAATAAGCTCTTCGGGAACGCCATGCTGTCGTAAGGCATACCATATAACGTCACGCGGAACGCGATCGAAAGCCTTCTCCAAGTCTAGGAAGGCAAGATGCACCGGTCTTTGTTTTTCGCGATGCTTTTCTAGCAGAAGGCGAGCGGCGTGTATGGCATCGATGGTGCTGCAAGCCAGCCACAAAACCACACTGGTTGGTGGTCAGATCAACGATGTCCCGGATTCGACTGTCTACAATTCGCTCAAAGATTTTCATGCTGTGCGAGAGCAGGCGAATTGGACGGTAGCTTGTGCAGTCTCCAGGACTACCTTTCTTCTTCCAGATGGGAATCGTCGTGCTTTGTTGCCAGCTCTCAGGCACCTTCTTCTCTGCAATGATCTGGTTGAAGAACTTCGTCAACCATTCTGCAGGATTCCAGCATTCATTTAGCGACATGACATTTGTGATGTGACGTGGGTGTTCGTAGGCCGGCCTGTCACGGGGGCCTGTCGCCTGCATTCGAATGTCCGTGTTCAGCTCAGCTCACAAAAGTGAGCAGTTCCCAGTGGCACCACTTGGAGGAACGGACATCACCACCCACAATGATTTACTATGATAACAATAAGGAGGACATGATAAGGAATCAGTTAGGTTCGGTTCGCATAAGCCCTCAGACGGAATTTCCTGGGCTCATCAGTAAGGGAGGAGGAAAAGCATTTGAACTCGTACTGTATAATATAATAACATTAATCAATGAAAACTCCAAATGAGCAAATTGAAAAAAAAATCAAAACCAAAATTCAAAATGCAACCATCTGGATAACACAAAAACGTTTCCAAAAATGAATGCAATTCAATGCAAATGATAAAAAGAGTAAAAGGAAAGAAATAAATTTACCGGAAGTGTGTTTAGTGGGCTCACGTTTCTTGGGAACCGGACGTCGTCCACCATTCTGAACTAAGGTCATACCTGAAGAAAAAAATCTGTAAAACAACAATCGCGGCAGGGGGGGGAGGAGTTATCACGAGTTATAAAAATGACGAAAAACACCACATGGTCCAAACTGATACATATGTACAATAGTAGAATGATTAGCGAAGAAGATTTGCAGCTACACCAGAAATGTGTGTGTAGGGTCAACCGTCACGTTTGCACTTTTTCGAAATGCGGCCCCTGCCCCCTTTTTTAGGCTATATAATTTCATTCTCAGGCCCAATATACTTAACCCTAAACTCTGAATTTTCTTTCCAAGAAACGGCGTTGCATCGACTGTGAAGAGGGGGATAAATTGGTATTATGAAAGGTGGCAAATCCACCTTTTGCCTAATTCTCACTACCTTCGTAAAACGTTTCATCAAATTCGTCAAGAAACCCGTCCAAACACAACCCTTTTTTGAGGACCTCCGTCAACCACCGTTCCCACTATGATACGCTCGGACTCAATCCCAATGCAACACCCGCCCCTTCCCTAAATTCTCAAATGCATCCCACTGTTCAAATAGTGCTGACGGACGGTTGACCCTATGTGTGTGTGTCCGAGTAGCACAACGGGTGAGACTGAGGAAAAAAGCCGGCAGTCAAAAATGTGGCGAGCACATCAAAATCCCAAAATCAAAAATTAAATCGTAGAGCAGGAAAGATATCATCAAAGCTGACGAGATCAGATGCAGACTGAGAAGAGATTCTCTTCAGACAGAAAGTTAAGCTTCGATTTTTCAAGACAATTCTTCTCAGGCGTTTCACGTTACGCGTATACCCCACGCTGACGTCCATTAAGAAGTACGGATTTATCCCCAATATGGATTCATGAGCTTGGCAAATGTGCGTCCCGAAACACCCGATTAAAGATCCACACATTAGAAATCAATCAAAAAAATCCATCCAAGACAATTTGCATGATGAAGCTCGCTTGTGAAATTTTGCTCTGATTTCAAAATATGAGCGCTAAAATTGTCATATGGGTAATGTATGAACCACAAAAGAGCCAATGTTGTCATGGAAATCACCCACCCCTCCCCCCTCTTCGCAGCTGAACACACTGATAAGAAAAGGTTTCCAGGTCGCACCATACAGCCGACCTCTCTACGCCAGCCCAGAATGTATACCTTAAAGTGCACCGCTGGTGTCAAATCTACCTTGGAATCTGCTAAACCATTTTCAAACGGAGTTAAGAAGCAGAACAGCGCAGCGGTAGTGGTCGGGACTCACAGTCAACACGTCGCGGGTTCGCTCTCCTATCGTGTTTACAGTTCTCCTCCATTCTTCAGGAATACAGCTAAACGGCTTTTCATAGCTCAGTTAACTGATCACCTGAAGAATGTTAAGAACCGTAGTCACGATAAGGGACCGATCCTACGACATTTGAGTATGAATCCCGACCAACGGATGTAGGCGCTGTTTTGTTTCAGACTGCCGCTTCAGGCAGCACTTGGAAGGACATAGGTTGAGACCAGCGTACGAAGGCACACCTAGGCGTATACATCTCATCCAGGGCTATGGCGACAGGGTTAGCCGTGCGTTCACACTATTCATGAGGGGGTCGCATTCGTGGTTGGTTTCGGTGAGGGGGGGGTCGCATTCAGGGGTTGAGTGGGATTAGTAGTTTGTTAGGTGAATGGCGAGGCGATTCAGATTTGGTTTTTGAGGGATTTTGTGGAATGATTGGCGCACAACGTGAGGTGAGGGGAGTCGCATTCAGGGGTTGAGTGGGCGGAGTAATCTACCCCTCCCACCGCTGTGTGCCTTTTGGAGGAGAAGTGGTCGGTTGGCGGGTCGACTGGTGCTGCAAGAATGCAATACCAATGGAAGCAACTCATGATGTGAGGAGGTGTTCGGGAGGGGATAAGGGGGAGCGTACTAGGGGGACAACTTTCTGGGTCTGGCATGAATGGTGGTCGGTGGGGGTGGCGGAATCGATTGCCCCCCTCCAAGAGTGGGGTCACGCGAAATTTTTGAAAATGTGCGAACGTCACGGTTGACCCTGCATGGGGACCTGAGAGCCTCGTCTTGTGAGTGAAAGTGTTCTGGAATTCCAGGACTTTGCGCGAGTACTGGCGAAAATCCATTTGTTGTCACTAAGTCGACGACGCGGTCTAACCTAGGTTCTTTTCTCGCCTGGAATCCTTTCCAAAGCGGAGCTTTGGTGCAAAATTTGGAGCTGTGTTGAACAAGGGAAACAATGTCGTCTGTAGAGCCTTTTTCAAAAGTAGCCCTACGGATCACGTTCCTCTAGAATGCCGGAGCTAATTCTAGCAATCGTGCAGATCGAGACAGGATCATCGTTGGGACAAATTTTGAAACCGGATAACCCTCGCTGATGGACCCTACATGATCCCTCAACCAAAAATCGTGAGTGTAGCTGAAATTGTCAAATCTAACGAGAAACGAAGTGAAGTAGTAAACGAGTATTTCTAAAGTCCACACATATTTCGTCTTTTTTTTCAATTTCCCACATCCCCAAAACGGCTCTTTCTACAGAGTGGGCCAAAATTACTTGCTCAATGTCGGGTGGAGACCACACATCACAAGCTACGACGGCCTAAACAAAATGTAGTTTCCTGCCAATGAGATGATTATCATGTTGCAGTCTGTATTTTATCAGTCTTCACTAATTACACCTAGCAGTTACCACTATCAGCTATCACTATGAACCACTAGTAACCAAAACTTGGAGGCAGTCGTCACTTGTGGTGTGTGGTCTGCACTCGACGCTTATCTGCTTTTCGGAAACAGAGTATAGTTGGACAACCAGTAATGAATTGAACAACTGAAAATGCTCGGAGCCCCCTCTCTGCCATATTCTTAACCGTCCAATGGAAAGGGCGCGATCCCCCGCTTATCACAGTGGCGGAAGTGATTTTTGGGTTCGTGTATTTTTGGCAGGCTTTTTCTCTAGTGAAGAACTATCCACGCAAGTACCTCGTCTATCGGAAACAACCCATACTTATCGCGGTGTGTGCTTCCGCTATCCGCGTCGGAACAAAGGCACGTACACAACTTTTGGGATGGTTTGACAACGCCGAGGCGCTAAGGCTCTAGGATGCAACATTGGCCACTCCCAGCACCACTGAGCCCGCCCACATATCAGTGCTATTTCGCTTTGCTGCAACTGGAAAGAGGGTTTTATTTGGGTCTCGCCGACGTCTTCTTCCCATTCTCCACTGCTGGCATTATACTTCTCATTCCACCTATCACTTACAAGCGCAGTAATACACAGTTCTATCCCGGACTTCACCTTCAATGAAATTTGAAAGTCATTCGTTTCGATCATACGGCAAGGTGTTCTCACTAAGGATTTCGTAATCAACATACTGTAATATTGGCATGTTCCTACTACTAAGAATTCCAGCGAATAACCGGTCCTGGAACGACGCCCTTAGGAGTTTTTACTCGGAAGATATGGCACTAGAATCACGTCTTTGAAAAAGATGAGGCACTTAGCAGCGTCAAAAGAGAGCAATGCACGTAGCAGGTTCAACATTCACTGAGGACAGCTCGCCAAAATCCCATAAAGTGCATGACTCATCGATTTGAATGATCGCTTTTTAGTAGCGAGTTTCGTGACTTAAGCACCTGTTGTTGCTAGTGGAGCTTGAAATCGAAACTACAAAAGAAACACAGTACATATAATAGTATACATTAATATAAGATAGGGCGGAAGTGGTGTAGTGGCAAGTGGCACGCTCACCACGCGAGCGGTCCCGGGATCAAATCCTGGGTCGTGAGTCGCCCGGGCCAACCAAGCCTTCCATCCTCCGGGGTCGGTTAATTGGTACCAGACTTGTCTGGGAGGATAAAAACACTGACTTGAACATCGGCTGGCCCCCGCAAGTCATTGTATAGGCCACATCGCATTCAAACGCCACTGCGA